AGAGGCCTCTCTCCCCCCACTCTCAGCCACGGAGAACTGGGCTGGCTGCTGGATCCCCCAGAGGATGGGGTAAGTGTGGGGGGAAGGATTTGGGGAGATTCTAGGGTGAAGGCCAGTGGGAATGGGGGCGGAGAGGTGGGTGGAGAAACAGAAAAGAGCAGGAAAAATTGGAAGCGTCTCCTCCTGGAGGGGGAGGGGAGGCTGAGTCAGTGCTTCCTGAATAGGGTTGGGGGGTCAGAAAGCATCCCACGGGGGATGCCCTACTCCTCCCCCAGGCTGCTGTCTGGTGAATATTCCTGGGGGGGGAGTGCCAAGCATCCAGGGAGCAAGCCTTGCGGGGAAGGGAGAAAACACTGGAAACATTCCTGGTCTCAACTCCATTCATCCCAGTGGAGTTGCATGGGTGGGTTTCAGGGAGCCAGGGAACCCCATAAAAGTGTGTTCTAAATCCTTTGTGGGAATAGTTTGCTGGAGAGGAGAGCCAAAGCTTTCTTCAGATTCTTCGAATGTTAAAAGCTGCTCCCCAGGGGTGCCGCGCCCTTGGCACCATGTCCATATCTCCCAGGTAGGCTCCGAGCACCGCCATAACAGTGCTTGAGGATGGAGAGCCTGTGCCAAGGGCCTTCCCTCCCAGGTGTCCCTCAGACCTAGGGACAGAGGTCAGTTGAACTGAGCAGAGGTCAGTTGTGGGTGGGTCCAGGGAGCATATTTGGACAAGAAGTCCAGAGTACATCCTGCTGCTACTCAGCAGAGCTGGCCACAGAACCTCCGGAGCTGCCTCAGTGGACAGACTTGCTGGTCCCGGACCCTACTCCCTAGGCATTGTCTTCCTTACTGTCCCTGAGAATTCAGCCCAGGCCTTTCTAGCGTCAGAGTTACTTGCTGTCCCTCCTTCCCTCTGGGTCTGAGGGTCCTGGCTTCATTCTCTGCTGTACCACAGAGTGGCCTGTAATTATAGTTAATAGACTAAACCATAATATATCCTCCAGGAGTGGCTGTTTAGAGAATCTGAGATTAGGCCAGCCCTAATAGGCGCCTCGTCTCATAAACCACTTAATCACCCCACGACAATGGCTATACAGGTCCATCTGCTGGCTCCCACGGGCCCCTGCTGCCCCGACCCACATAGCTCTTCCCTAATTGGGCCAGAAAGAAAGGAAGGACCCTTTCTCTATCTTGCTGAGAAAATAGCCTTGCAGTCCCAAGGCAAGAAGAAAAATCCAGCAGTGCTGCACACCCACCCCCTACCTTGTTTGTCCCTGTCCTTCTCCTCAACACACACAAATACACACACACTCAGAGCCAAGCTCCCCAGGATGCCCCCTGTGTAGCAGCCAGCAGTGCCTGAGTGCTGAGTGAAAGATTCTTCATGCGGGTCCTGGAGGGTGGGTTCTCCCCCATCTGTCACTGCTGGCACTGGGAGAGGCAGTTACAGCTGG